ACCCAGGTCTCGTTCATGCAGAATAATGTCATCTCATGCTGGAAAAAATAATCCCTTAAAATGGGGGTTTTATTCCCAATTGACCGGGCGTTTAGGAGAGCTATCCTGAAGATTGGTGGAAGACCCGAATCAGCTGACCGGGGTGACTGGGCCACTTGGGCCACCATAGGATAGCAAAGGTTAGCTTGGTTGACGGCCCGGTGGATCCACGGGTTGGTGTTTGAGGCATTCCGGTGGCCGGATTCCCCAGAGAATCTTCGACAGAGTGATGGAATGCAGAAGGTCCGATGATCTCCATGTATCAACTCTGGTGACAGGTGAGGTTTACATCCCATGCACGAACGGCCGAAGGAGGCTCTGAGCCGCACTTTGGAACCCCCGCGTTTGCCACGTCTGCGGCGTTTCCTTGGTAGCCACGCCGAGCAGGGAGAGCGAAGCAGCAGAGCTGGGACCACCGTAAACAGCGGGGTGAAGGACCGTCTTAGATCCGAACAGCGGTGATAGGCAAATCCAAGTTTATGGCGAAGTTCAAGAAGGGTGAGGCGATCATAACAAAATTTGAGCTACTATCCACCAAAGAGCAACGCAGAAAAATAAAAAGCAAAAACAACAATCGGGAGAGCAGATGGCAGGCCGTGGACGGCGCCATCTTTAAACTTCCACCTTCCAAAGTTATATAGTTGTCTGTGTCCCTTACAGTATGCTGCATAGTTCTAGAACCCAAGTTCTCATTTTTTATTTGTGGTTTTTAGGGGTTGAAGGTTACGATACTAGCTTACTGTCACGTTGAGGGTGTGGATGACGGTGGACCATGTGCGGTGGAGCAGATCAGGAGGCAGGAATGCAGGCACGGATGAAAATACAATGGTTTTAATGGCAGAGCGGGAACGACAGAACAAAACAACGCTGACAAAAACAATGATCCGACAAAGACTCAAACAAGACGAGAGGTATAAACACTCAGGGAAGCAATCAGGAACACATGGGCGGATTAACACGGGGCAGGTGAGAACAATAAAGACTAATCAGGCAGGGGAGAGACACAGTCAGGGAGGCAGGAGCAGATTGTGACAGTACCCCCCCTTAAGGGGCGGATACCAGACGCCCACAAAAGCCACATAACACTGGAGGCTCGGGACACTTGTACTTGGGAACCAGAACACTTGAGACATCAACTCGGGAAACAGGAACACTCAAACTCGGGACACTCAAACTCTGGAACAGGAGCGCTCGACTCGGGAACTGGAACACTCGGAACAGGAATACTAGGAACAGGAACACTCAGACTTGGGAACAGGAACGTTCGGACTTGGAACAGGAACGCTCAGACTTGGAACAGGAACTGGAACACTCGGACTTGGAACAGGAACACTCGGACTTGGAACAGGAACTAGAACACTCGGACTCGGAACAGGAACTGGAACACTCTGACTCGGAACAGGAACTGGAACACTCGGAACAGGAACTGGAACACTCGGAACAGGAACTGGAACACTCAGACTCGGAACAGGAACTGGAACACTCGGACTTGGAACAGGAACTGGAACACTCTGACTCGGAACAGGAACTGGAACAATCGGAACAGGAACTGGAACACTCAGACTCGGAACAGGAACTGGAACACTCGGACTTGGAACAGGAACTGGAACACTCGGAACAGGAACTGGAACACTCAGACTCGGAACAGGAACTGGAACACTCGGACTTGGAACAGGAACTGGAACACTCTGACTCGGAACAGGAACTGGAACACTCGGAACAGGAACTGGAACACTCAGACTCGGAACAGGAACTGGAACACTCGTACTTGGAACAGGAACTGGAACACTTGGAAACTGGAACACTCAGAAACTGGAACACTCGGAAACTGGAACAGGAGACTGCAGCAGCAGGCGTGGAACCCTGAAGAGGCTGCAGCAGCAGGCATGGGACCCTGAAGAGGCTGCAGCAGCAGGCGTGGGACCCTGAAGAGATTGCAGTATCAGGTGTAGGACCCTGAAGAGACTGCAACGGCGGGACTCTGAAGAGGCTGCAGCATGGAGGACCTGCAGGCGTAGGCCCCGCAGGCGTGGACCAGGAAGTTGCTGAACTGCAGGAGCAACGCGAGGAAACCCAGCTCGGCGGCAGGTACTCGACAAACGGTCTGAGCAGGTGCACATCACGATACGCTGGGTCACAGGCAGAGGCTTGGGTGCAGGGAAGCAGAAGAAGGAGTGGGGAGACCAGCCCTACCACCCCGTAGAATGATGGCGTGCGTAGGGGGTTTTACTCCACCAAAACCCCAGAATCCGCGGCTTCCATTGGGAAAAAACAGGACGGGGCCGAAAGCAGGAGAGGAGAATGGGTTCGACCACCCCGGGAACAAATAGGATGCGCCAAAACCCCTCGAGTCGGAATCTCCCTCCGCTAAATGGAGAAAAAGCAAAAAAAAAGTAATCCTCCAGGCAGATGTTTAGAGCTCACCACAGGTCCAGGTTGGTCGGATCATTCTGTCACGTTGAGGGTGTGGATGACGGCGGACCATGTGTGGTAGAGCAGATCAGGAGGCAGGAATGCAGGCATGGATGAAATAAAAGTAGTTTTAATGGCAGAGCGGGAACGACAGAACAAAACAACGCTGACAACAAACAATGATCCGACAAAGACTCAAACAAGACGGGAGGTATAAATACTCAGGGAAGCAATCAGGAACACATGGGCAGATTAACACGGGTCAGGTGAGAACAATAAAGACTAATCAGGCAGGGGAGAGTCACAGTCAGGGAGGCAGGAGCAGATTGTGACACATACTGTCTATATGCATGTACATGTACCTTTGTTATTACTTTTCTTCAAATTATTCTCTAAGTGTTGGTGCTACTGTAACAAGTGACTACCCCACTGTGGGATCAAAAAAGTCTATTCTATTCTATTCTATTCTATTCTTGGTATGAAGTGACCACGCAGTTTACTAAAGTAGCGATGGAGTGATTAGATGAGCGCAGGTAATTAATATTTCGTAAGTGGTAAACTCATAATTTTGTTAGTGAACTTTAAATGTGCCGTTGTCTCTACTGTGGCTACGGCTTCATGCACTACTTATGATTTTACATCCACTCATATAACAGAAACATCTGGATGTCACGATGGCCATCATGTGGCTCTGGTGTAAATAAAAATGACCTTTACCTCATGAACCACTTGCCAGCATGGCCACACGGCAGGAGTGTGTGTGTGTGTGTGTGTGTGTGTGTGTGTGTGTGTGTGTGTGTGTGTGTGTGTGTGTGCGTGCGTGCGTGTGTGTGTGTGTGTGTGTGTGTGTTAGGGCTGTAGCGAAGCTTCGATGACGTCGACGGCTCGATTCTAAAAATTCGTCAACGTCAGATCCGGTAGTCGACGCACCGCGCCCACTTGTTGCATCCCCAGGAGTTTGTAAATAGAGGAGGAATCTGCCTGTTTTTCCTCTAGTTCGCCCTCTTCTCCGCCTTCACTAACATCTCAGCCACATACCGAAGACCCGGAACAAAGTCCATCCGCTACTAGGTTCCTTTCCTGTTTTGCCCGCCTTCGTTTCCCGGCAACGGACAACAACTTCCGGGGTCAGATGCGCTGCTCCGTCTCTACTGCAGATGTAGAAAATCACCGGGAGCGTTTCTCCCTTCATAAAGGAGCTTCTTTCAGACATTAGGAGAGCTGTTTTGGTGGTAGCAGTCTCTCCTCCGAGCTGGTCTGTTTGCTGCTGGGTGTTTTTGGTTTATTTAAACTTGGCAACTTAACGTTGGTAAAGCTACTGTTAGCATTTTCGCTAACAGCTTCTTGCATTTGGATAAGCTGTTACGTTTTGGTTTAGAGTTAATCTTTTTTCAATCCAATCCAATCCAATTTTATTTATAAAGCGCATTCACAAGGCATTACAACCAAACAAGGCGCTGTACACTAGAAATGTTGGTTAATTAAACAAGCGATATTTAAACATGTTGAACACATATAAAAAATAATAATTTGTGGTACAAATTAATAAATGTCTAAATGTAATAAAATCTCCCTTTTGTTACATTTAGAGTGTTTTGGGTTTTCGGTTTAGTTTAAAATATCACCTTGAGGTTGGTTTAACCGCCCAGTTTAGAGTTTGGAACTTTGGAGATTCTTATTTTGGTCCAGAACCCAGTAATCTTTGCCCAGTGGGACATCCCTAGTTATCTGTACTTTTGTTTTAATTCCCCACAGGCAGAATTAGTTTTATTACTCCCAACCTGTGGATGGAAAGATTTGGTTTTTTGTAGTTGTAAATAAACCTGATCATCATTTTAACTTTTAAATCCCACATTATTGTCCCTTCCTTTTTGCACACGAGCCAAACTCCCCAGGAAGAGTCGTAACACCACTCGCCTCACGCACATAAGTGACCAAGACGAAGCAGCATGGAGACACTCCGTCTCCCACCACCTCTCAGGCAGCAGCCTGCACTCCCAAGATCTACACGTCACCAGAATGTAACCAACCAGCGCAATAAAAGCAGTGTTATACAAAATGGAAGGCCTGTAGTGTTTATTCTCTTACAGTAACAATTAATCAATTTTTTGGAGGAATTTATTAGAGATTTTTTGGTTTTTATTAACTGTGCAATAGAAAAATAATCATTAGATTAATTGTATAAATAGTCATTAGAATAGTCGACTATTCGATAAAATAATCGTCAGAATAATCGTTTTAAAAATAATCGTTTACCCCCAGCCCTAGTGTGTGTGCGTGCGTGCGTGCGTGTGCGTGTGTGTGTGTGTGTGTGTGTGTGTGTGTGTGTGTGTGTGTGTGTGTGTGTGTGTGTGTGTGTGTGTGTGTGTGTGTGTGTGTGTGTGAGTGTGCGTGTGTGTGTGTGTGTGTGAAATCTTGATTGTGAATGATTGTAGGACTGATGATTAACACCAACACAGAGGTTAGCCCTGAGATAAAACCTCGTCTGTCTTCCCGTGTGTTGCCTCAGCTCTTCTTGGACTTGAGTTGCTCAGCCTGCAGAGACCCACCTTGTAGCCTGACCATGTCCATCGCAGGCTTCTTCTCCAGCAGATCTCCTCTCTGGAACTTGCTGTCCAAGAGAGAAGTGTGAACAAAAAGTCCCAACTCCGTGAATCCTGCCTCATGTGGTGTCAGTTCAAACCATTTTCCTAAGACAGAAGTGAGTCCACCTTCAGCCTCCACAAGTGATGATCTCATTCAGGGGTAGATAGTGACACGCTCCAGGTCTTACCTTCCAGTGGTCCGTGTGAGAAACAGCGTTTCTCTACGGCGCAGTAGATGGGATACGGGTTGGTGGCTTCCCCGACAGCGTCATGAGAAAGATTCCTCAGATCCAACTGATGGAGGACAGGATTTGTTTCAGGTGTGTGTGTGTGTGTGTGTGTGTGTGTGTGTGTGTGTGTGTGTGTGTGTGTGTGTGTGTGTGTGTGTGTGTGTGTGTGTGTGTATGTGTGTGTGTTTGTGTGTGTGTGTGTGTGTGTGTGTGTGTGTGTGTGTTTCTGGTACCTGTTTCATGAGCCCAGCAGAGGTTAAGACCCCCCAGACATCAGTGAGAGAGAAGTTCTCCTCTTGTGCCCGCTCACCCAGCCACTGCAGAGCATGGTCCAGCCCGACCTCAGGTCCCAGCAGCCTCGACACAGCTTCATCCATCTTGGAGCTCCACTGAGGGTCACTGTACAGGGAGGCCATAGACCTGGTGAAGTGGGAGTGAAGACAGATGCACGGGTCAGGAGAGTGGGGCTGCTGTAACCGAGTCATGTCACTGCTGAGAGCAGCAGAGTTGTAGCCAGGTATGAGCGATGACATCATTACTACTTCTCTGACTGGTCACAAGAGTGATGGCCACCACTTGTTTCTACTAATGTGTTGTGCTGTTGCCTCGTTAGCTTCGTTTCCACTTCCATAACTTCGGGGTTGATTTACAGGAACCTCCCGTTGTGGCTCCTCTTGACCGGGCCGGCCGAACGGCTGTTTTCAGGAGCCTTTTGAGTACCTGCTCAGGGGTACTCGGAACGGCCCGGTGGAGTAGCTGAACCTTTGGTTGACTCACGCTGATTGGTTCTAACTCAGTTGGAAATGACATCAGCAGACGTCGTCCAAAACAAGCAGCATCAGTAAAGTTAGGCGAGTTGCTTCTGTAAAAAAACAACACTTCTTCTGGTCACTGAACGCCACATTTAGATCACACAGCTGCTCAGGTCCTCTGAATTGATGAAATGATGATAAACTTCGACAGAATAAATGCTTTTAATGTTATCACTAATGATACTGTGTGTTTCAGTGACATCACTCAGCGCCAAAGCAGTCTCGATGTGCAAAGTTCTGAAAGACCTGAATTTGAATGGAGAGACAACAGCTGAGAGGACTGGGACATCCCATCTCCTGGTCAAGTTTCACCCTGGAGTTCTGGTGATGGAAACACAGCTACTCTGTCCTGGTTCTGGTTGCTAAAGTCCTTCTGAGGTCATTGCCCTACTCTGATGTGTTTTTATCGTTCTCAGTTGTAGTACGTGGTCTTTAGACTGGTGTGCACATGTCCCTGCCTCTGTGGATGGTAACGTGGGTGCAGCTCGTAGTTTTGTCTTTACATCAGATATGAAACCGTTTCGGTCTTGTGAGTTATTTCTGCTGCCCTCATCTCATGACCCTGACCTGTGTGAAGCTGTAAATATGGTTACCATGTCGACCCAGAAACGCCTCCTATGTAGAGCAAAGTATCCAGCAGATGGTCCTCTTTCATCTGATGAAGGGTGCCCACCAGGCCCACGGCTGCCCTCTGACCCCCACCAGATGCCAACAGAGCAACGTGAGGAACCGAATCCTGGATGGTGCAGAACATTTTCACTTTAATATCAGGCAGTTTCTGTCCTGGAAGGACAACATCCAGCAGTAGCGATACCGACATACGCAAAACCATGGAAGAGGAAAACAACTGTAGCTGCCGTCAAAGGCAACTCTCGCATTTAAGTTCATTTTATTGGATTTAATGTTGAAACAATTAGTAGTTGAAAGATTGAGAAATAATATTTCAATAGTAATTCATGTTCTGTTCATTAGATTTATATGTTTAAATGTGTATTTGTGTTAACTGTGCAATTAGATGGGAACCTTTTCTATAGTTCCATCCGTTGTTGCTAAGGGGGCATTTTTCTTGGCACACTCAGCAAGCAATTAAGAGACGAGCCACGAGGTTGCACGTCTGCAGTAAGCTAAATAAAAGAGTGCCTTTTTTGGACTACCTCACGGCGTAAGGATTAAAGTTTATTCCCTTTGAGTGAGGCCAATGAGGTAAATGTTTTCTTTTGTTTATTATCGTTGTACATGTAAATTATGTAAATGTGCGTGATATTCTAATGCAGTTACCGCAGTGTGAAGTGTAACGTATGTTTTATTGATCGATTTGTTGACATGTTCGTCATATAATGCTTAAGGACTTTATTAAGAATATTCATTTAAGTTTGTTTTTCTTTTTAGTTCTGACGGCTGTGGTTGGACATCATTACATGT